TGCCGAGTTATGGCTCAGACAAAGGGCAAAGATCTCGAGGAATCTGCTAGCTGTTATCTACAAAGACAATGCCGAGAACCGGGCGTTATGTGTGTGTATATATATAGCAATGGAATATCTCTAATATCAGATACCTAAAGTGAAAATTTTCGGGAAAAGAATACATACAGGAGACTGAAGATGATCTGCCAAAAACCGAGGGCCAGAATAGTAGATGATAACGAGCAATTGCTTGGCCACCGAAAGTGCAGAAAGCTCATCACTTCCCAAAACCACTTTGGGAAGCCTCTCGAGAAGGCTGTTTTAAAAGAGATAAGCCAAAAGGGGAGTATTCATGTAAAAGGTTCTACGATATTTGAATGATATACTTGAAAAACTACGAAACGATAAGACAGAAAAGGTAACATACCGGTTAAAGAACTCGAATACATCTTTATCTACGTAAAGGTATGTACTTTCTGAGAATAAATCATCGAGAAATTCCTGGGCACCTGCAGAAACTTCGTCAGAGTCATCGATGGCCAAGGTACATACACATTCCTGCATCACAATTTAAAAAAAAAAAGCTTACAAGATACTTATCATGATATAATAGCTAAGCGGTTTTGTGAAAACAAGTTTATAACTTTTGAATGGCAGAAGGATCTGCAGTACCAGTAGTACTAATCTGGCACCCTTCAATGAAAGAGGGCTCTTAGATAATAATCCACGTATCGCTGCTAGAAGTCCTGATCTAACTTTGCTTGCCGGATGAACACAAATCTGAAGGAAAAAAATGTAACATAAATGTTTGGGAATCACCTACCACTGTAAAAGAAATTGAAATAATGAAGAATGGAGTAAACTTACATGAGGAAATGCATCACACAACAGTTTATTCACGCGAGAGCTAGTCGTCTCTAACCATTTCTTCGTACGTTCGACATGAAGGGAATCCATTCCATTGGAGCCAAAACTCGGGTTCAAGTTGGATTCTTGGCTTTCCTTGATTGATTTACCGACTTCTTCTCCTCTAGTTTTTGTGGTTAAGGAACGGAGTTGCTCCAGAACTGAAGGTGCAGATTCATGCTTGCTCAAATGGGTAGCACCATCAGAAATGGAAAGGGCAGATGAATTAGCCTCATCCTCGAGAACGATCATGAGAATCTCGGCTAGGGCTCTTATGGATTGGTCCAATGCCTCAACGCTTCCAGCAGCTCCGCTTATCATTGCTCTCGAAACGTGCAAAACTTTGGCGACTTGGCTAACAACGCCGGGTAGAAAAAACGCCAATGCATCTGCAGTACCAACCTACAAACGGGTTCCAAAATATCTGTTGAGCAATAAAATATTTCCTTTTATCATGGAAATATTGACAAGACTGGGACTTTTTTTTTCTCAAAATAAGAATCTAGTACCAGTTCATCCTAAAAGATGTAGGCACAATTTTTGAGAACTTAGGGTACCGAAATGTATTAAGGATTGTTTAAATTACCTTAGCGACGAGTACACGTAAGGCCATGAAGGCTTCAACACGAAGATTTGCACTTCCTCGATGTCCTCGAGCAGCCTCAGCATCAGCAGCCTTTGTGCAATGACCAAAAGCAATTCATTGAGAAAACTCGAAACTACGAAAGAAAAATGGAAAGCACTAAGGAGAGAGAGAGAGATACTTTGAGAAGAATGGAAAGCCAGTGACCCACAGCAGTTGAAGCAGACTGTGACTGAAGAAATTCAAGTAAACATTCTCTATTTTCTTGATCATATTCGAAAAAGTTTGAAAATTGAATCGGGGAATCTCTCCTCTCCCAAAGTAGAGGCCATCCAATAGAGTGTTTGCATGAGCAAGAATCATCAGAGCATGGAAGCAGACCAGAGATCATCGCTCTAAAACTCTTTATGATCCCTTCACGAAATTCTTCTGAAGCCTCGGATTGCGTTAACAGAGCAGCACTGGTTAACTTCTTGAGAATTACAACCATCTGCAGAAGAAATTTTTTTAAAATATTCGCATAAACTATACCGAGAAATGTATCAACCCAGATTAGGAAAACCAAGATGCATGAATCAAACCGATTTTGCTTTACCTGATCTACTGATCTGATACAACATTTCTTCAGAAGTTCCTCAAGACAACAGATTACACCTTCTGCTACTTTATCACTCACTTTATACGGTGTTCTCAAAACATCATACACTTCAAGTTTCTCCTTTGGCTGCTTTTTATCCTGGCTTCTGCAAGCAACTGCTGCGTCCAACAGAAGCAGCAACGGGAACAAAGTATAGCTGATACATACATATATACATACATACAAAATGATTAGTTATGGCATGTATATATGTACAACCATGAATGAACAGGAAACACTTTACATATATTGGACGTATGCTCGTTTGATCTCAATAGATGAAAGTGTTGTTCGTGCAACTGAGACAACCTCTCTCGTTCATGTAAGAAAAAGTTTTTTAACTGTCTGGATGATATACTCAAATCACAAACAAGCTCAGGAAAAGTTGCTTCCTTCCCCAGAAATTCGAAAACTTTGGTTTCAAAGTTGCTCCTTTCGAACTTTACCAGCAAACCCACGAAGAAAAGCTCAAACAAAGTTCCCTCTATGCATTGAAAAACAAGAGAGAGAAGTCATAGAATTTGGTTAAAGGCAAATGCAGGTAACATTGTATTATGTGATGAGGCATTTTACTCGAAGAAGGACTGAAGATAGGAGGAAGGAGTGCGGCGGAGAAGCTGAAGCAGCGCTGGGATCGCCGGGGAATCCTTTTTAGGGTTTTGCGAGAGACTTAAGAGCTCCAAGCAGAGACCTTTCAGTTGTGCGAAAACCTCTTCTCTCTCTACTTCGCCTTCAACTCCGCCGTTTGCTTCACTACTTCTGGTGAAACCACCGGATACTCCGGCGGAATTCTCCATTGAATCCGATCAGCTCAGCAAAACCACCGGATTGATCAGCCGAGAGGGGGAGAGAGTGAGACGCGAATTTGGAGAAGCAGGGGGAGCGTTCGAGAGATACCGGACGGGCAAAAGTGAAACCCGACCCGACAGGATCCAACTCTAATGTAAACTCACCAATTGACCCGGACCCGTCAAACCATACCCGGTCAATAACTTCTCCGGTTCTCTCTCTCTGTGACAAATGGGCAAAGAAGACGGGAACTTGGCAGCAAGAGATTAGGGTTTTAGCTTTCCTTCTTCCTCTCCCCTTCACAGATACCTGTTTTCCCGTCAAAATCTTCTGTTTCTTCTACTGGGCAACAATGCAGATGGTTGAGAGCAAGAGATGGGGATGGGTTATTCAAATGCAGTGGTTGTCTTCTTCGGGCATCTAACTTTTCTGGTTATTTTTCTTCTACTTCAGCCCCGCATTTGAAGTTGAACTCGAACTCAAAAATCACACGACATGGTTCAGAATTCGGGCTTAACTGAGTCAAAGTTCATATGCAAAAACGCCTTCTTCTGGTTGTTCTTGGAAATTTTCCACGAAAATCCATATTCCTCTGTATGTTGTGTCCTTTTTCCATTGAAGAACGATTTTAGCTATTGGTGTAGCCGGTTGGATAGGCTTGTATTGGCAATTAAGCAATGCTTTTAATGTTGTTGCAAAGCCATGATTTTGAGGTTTGGGATTCATCTGTTGAAACTATATGGGAAAGTACGTTCCATATGTTGGATTCATTCTCTGGCATCTCAGGCAGTTTTCAGACAAGTAGGATCTCTCATAAGCCAAGGAAATCTGTGGATGGTGTCATGGTTCTTGTCCTTTGATAATGACTCTATTAGACAAAACTAGGTGCCTGTCTCATATTTAGTGATGTGTGATCTAAATTTGCAACCTTTTTTTTTTTTATGTCTCCATGGAATTTCAGGAAAGCTTGGGAAGGGAAATGAATACAGAACCATCAATCAAAACGGTAACATTTCTTTATTATTCAAGAGAACCAACAAAAAGGGGGAAAAAAAGATGTGGTTCTAATGGGAAGATGTGGAATCAAAAATGGAGAAACATTCTTTTCACCCTGTTTGCCATTGCTACCAAGGTGGGCGAAGAAAGATGAGAGAAAAGGCTCATCTGTTGCGAAAACGAGTTAACTTCCTTGATTTGTTTATGGCTCATATTCAGCTGTTATAGCAGATGAATCCACATCTTGAGACTGAAATAACAACCATTTCTCGCCTCTTGTCAGTTCCAATTGCAGATGGTTGTAGCTGATGGCGATTAGCAAACTAATCCTACCCTTCACATGTCTTTCCATCGATAACTTGAATACAACACCAAACCCGGTTTCACTACAGTGCAATTGTTTGCTTTGAGATTCGGAATAAAAATCTTTCATGTGTATAGGCTTACATATGGTGTCTTTTACCTAGCTCTGTTTTCTCTACATGGGTACTGAATTCCTTCCCCGTGACTTGTGCAGTATAGAGTGTTTTGCTGACAGTACATACATACAACCTACCTGATCGTTTATACGACAGAAATGCTAAGAAACTAGTTTAATAATCCATGTTCTCTGTTATCAGTAAACACATAGATCCAATAGAAGCACCTGTATTTTCAAAGGTCTTGGATAATAATGAAACCCGTTTACGGAAATCTGCTTCTTGCTTCGTTAGCCTATCATTAGTTCGTATGTTTTCATAAGTGATGATTCTTCTTCTCCTCTGGTTCCCCGTTTATGCTGTTGGTTATCATCATCCTCTTCTAACAAAAGTTCGTTTTCCAGGAACTTGAACCATTTTTTTACTTCATCCTCATCAGACTCTTCGGCCCTTGAAGCCAAGCTGTTCTCATGTGCAGCAGGTTGTTGGGATGCATCCAAACCACCCAACAAGCTCCAAATGTTAGGATCTGAACCAAAAGGGTTCTCCATCATGTCTGGCTTATCTACCTCTTGAAATATGTCAGTAGCTCCACTATAATCTTCTATATACCCGAAAAAGTCACAAATCTGTAGATCATATTCTGGGTTTATAATGTTTGAACGACCAGAGGACGTTGAAGGACTGGACAACTCATTGGAAGGTGACACCTGAGAGGTCTTCTCTGTCAAAGAATCTTCTGGGTCTCCTACCCGAGGCTTAGCCTCTTTTCCATCTTGTTTCTCATGAGAAACGGAGTCACCCGAACATGACGAGGCAGATTCATCTGCATGGAGGTTGGTTTCTGAGTTCTGAACCAGCCTTTTCTTCAGATGGGTGTGCCACACATTCTTAATCTCATTGTCTGTTCTTCCCGGCAGGTGAGAAGCAATCTTCGACCACCTGATCAAAAGGTGGAAAAGCTGTGTCAAGATCGAAACTTTGAGCCACAAGAATGCAAACAATATGCAAAGGATGGTGATTTTTACTTGTTCCCGAAGCTCTGGTGAAGCTTAATGATTGTTTCTTCCTCCTCTGCAGTGAAATTCCCACGTTTCACATCTGGTCTCAGGTAGTTAATCCATCTCAAACGGCAACTCTTCCCACACCTTAACAGCCCTTCATTGCAATTACACAGAAAAGACACTTAGCTGAAGAACAGGACAGGAAAGGCAACAGAGGCAAATCAAGCATCGTGCAATGAGGTTGTTTATCCTGAATCTTCAGACAGGAGATCGCAACGAGTTGCAATATCTTCAATGGAAAGACAACTTAGTATATATTATACCAGCTTGTTTGGGGAGAGACCTCCAGTTCTCATGGCCGTTCCTGTGAATGAAAGAGATGAGTTTCATGTCTTCATCTGGGCTCCATGGGCCTCTCTTCACTTTGGTCTTGTCGCAACATGGTGCTCTTCCCTTCCCCATTCTCTCTCGCCCTCTCTCTCTCTCTCTCTCTCTCTCTCTCTGTAGAGATTCCCTTACCAAATCAAAATTGTCCCTCTTTATTGTGTGTGTGTGTATGCCTGTCTCTGTATATATATAGAAGGGAAGAGAGATCTTTGCCATGAGAAACATGCTATAAACAAATACACCACTTAATGTCATAATCAGATATTTGCTGTGTAAAAACCTGTCTTAATTTGGCTTATATGTTTCTTATTTTATTTTCTTAGAAAGCTTATAATTTTTTCTATTAATTTCTTAATATTACAATGATAACGATAACCATCCTTTCCAATAATGTTTTCCCAAAATATCTATTAATCATCCCCAGTAATATTTTTCTTAAAATCCATTAATATAAATAAATCCTCTGAATGATTCTTACTAATACGAGATTGTAGTGGAAATAATTTCTAGGAATGGCTCTTATTTTGACAAAGAGTATAAGGATATACAATGCATTAAATTAGTTTACTTATTATTTGATTAGTTTGAAACTTTATTTATCTAATTAATTAAATCACCCCCCAAAGTCTAAATCATTGATGGTCCTTGCATAATTATGTTACATTTGAATAATAGATAGATGCGTTATCAATCGTGTATTTTCAACATACTAGATTTTAATAATATTTTAGAAAGTTGATTAATAATTCATACAAATAATTGTAATGGCTATATATATATATATACCTACCGGATGCATGCACACCATGCATTACTACCTTCGACCGCCGTCTCGTATAAGTAAGATTGTGACATTCGAATATTTTTTAATTTTTATGAATTTCATAATTTGACTCAATCTTTTTCCTTATTTATTTTGTTGTTATAGATGGATGCAAAAAAAAATATTATTATCAGGTTTATTAATAATATGGTAAGAAAAATAGAGTTTAATTATTTTGGTTTTATTAGAAATATAAATACATTAAACTGTTACTAATTTTATATAAATTAGTCTAGATGATTAACATTAATTTTATTGGTATAATGATGGTATTATGATGCTATTAGCAAAGATCTATCTATGATTATAGATTAATGATCCAAATATTATTTATTTTATGATGATTATATATTTCATTGTTATTTATGAACGCACCAAAAATATCTGTAATGTGTACACAAATTCAGCGAACAATACAAATGTGGAGGGACCAAGACTTGCGTCTTTGACTTTAAACTGTTTCGTTGGATGATTTAATGTTTGGTAACATAGACATTACCGAACCACAACAACAGAACAAAACCTTGTTTTTTAAAGATATAGTTTTAGTGGTTTATATATCATTTTTATCTTGAATTTAAACTCTATGCAAAGAAAATCTTTTATTTCATAGTTAGATTACTCTCGTTAAAAAAAAACAAATATAAAACATTTCATTTAGTTTTAACAAAACTTATAGAAATAAGAATATAATAATATATAAATTTAAAACGAATATAAACTAAATTCTTTATAATTAAACTTCCACCACATACAACTTTGTCAATATTTTCTTACTCGCAGCCACTTCTTTCACTGTTCTCTTAAACTGTTTTTTTCCTTTTATTATAATATATATATATATATATATATATATATATATATATTCTTTAATAACCAATTTATCCTCTGAATAATTTTTTGAATTAATTAACAGAAAAAAAAAACACCCTTTGTCAATTGTCATTTATTGCCTTATAATTCTTTGATATTGTCGAAGGATTTGGATTTGTTTTGTATTTAATAAATGCTTTTGTAATTATTTTCAAGTCATAGGTTTAAACCATTTTTTCGTAAAAGATATAATTAAAATTAATCATTTTATAAATTGAATAAAAAAATTATAACTATTAGATAATAAATTTATTTAAATAATCCAAAATTCTAAAAACATATCGATAATTTGTTTACTTACATATAATATAATGATATCAGTTTATTTTTTCTTATAAATAAAATATATATACAAATTCTTTAAGCCCTTTTTCTTATCTCTCACCTGTATACATGTACATGGAGTCCAAGTTTGAGATTCCAAATTGAAAATGACCCAAGGATTCACGAGTCAACACCAAACAAGATGGTGCAATTTTGAATATATTAACTAAAATTGGTTATAATAATCAATAAAATTCATAGGAAGTTTATTTTTCTTGTACGAAAAAAAAACTAGAGTTAATAACGATATTTTATTTAAAAAAAATCAAATGCCATGCAATTTGTGATCTCAATAACATTTACGGATAATAATATATTCTTTAAATTTGATTAAATTAATGTGGCAATAAAAATGAAATCAGAAATGCAGTATCACATCAATCGCAATTATAATACACTCATATATATATATATATATATATATATATATATAGAAAAGTTTGGGATTTGCATGACGATAGCACACGTGATGCTAATGGTACGTATTTTTAGTCTTACGATTTGGTTCACCGGCCAACTTTCCGAAGAAAAAAAAATATCTTAACGTTAATGCTTTGGAAAAAAAAAAGTATATTTTATTTATGATACGTAAATCCAAATAGGATTTGATTTGATTTAGAGAAACAAAATGATATAAATAAATTGATTTTTTTTTGTTGGTTGAATATTGATCTCAAAGGCATTACCAAATGAGAACTACTTGTCATTTTATTCTGTCAAAATTTACCGAATAAAATACAAAAAGTCACACCCTTCAGCATTGGAAATCAAATAATCCATTGTTCTCGTGAATCTTGAATATAT